CGACTCCCGATGTGTGTGTGTGTGAGTGTGTGATGGGAGAACGACTCCCAATGTGTGTGTGTGTGTGTGTGTGTGTGATGACGTGTGTGAAACACAAATATAAATCAACCTCAGCACAGTAAAAGACCATGCACCGCACTGCAACACTGCAGGAGGAAAGCACGCATCTGAGTGAGTCAAGTGGACAGACAATCCTTAAAGTAGCATTGCAGGTCCACTTGACGTACAAAAGACGGAAATAAGTACAAGACGGAGAGGCCGACAAACGGCACAAGGGAGTGAGGCACGAACGACAGTGAAGCAAGGGACATGGGCTGGAGGGCACAGGGGAGGTGAGCGCACAGACAAACAGCATAAGGCAGCAAATGGAAAACGTAACAAGCCAGAAAGTAGCTAGACAAAAGAACTACCGGCAAGAAAAGTACACGTTCTGGAAAAAGAGAGAGCAAGATTGTTTTGTGGGAGTTGCACCAACTCATCAGGTGGCTGAACCCTCGACAATCAGCAGAATGCCTGTATTGATGGTTTGGGTCATGAACCCTTCGACCCTTGTTGAAAGCAGACTTCCCAAAAGCGGAACACAGCAGCAGGCAACAACTCAGCGAAGCACCACGCAACGTTGCCGAGGCAACCCAACTGCGCAACACCAAAATAATTGCAAGAACGACAGCGCAAGAACGACAGCGCAAGAACGACAGCGCAAGAACGACAGCGCAAGAACGACAGCGCAAGCCGAGCAGTGCCGCAACAGCGAAGAGAAGCACAACGCGACACCAGCAAAGTAGCCAAACTACATGCCACACAAGCAAGGAACGCGGAAGGTAAGGCATGCGGATGGGCGGACGGCGGCAGTGCAGCGATGCACAAGGCAACACCAACAATGCAGCCACACAACGCAGTGAACACAGCAGCTGCAAAGGACGGCATGCAAAGCAAGCGTGACAGGCAGCGAAGCAAAAGCGGAGCGAAGACAATGCAGTCTAAACGTCCAACATGGAGCAAAGCGGTACATCACCTACTCGCATCACGAGTGGACCCCGCAGACTGTTGGTTCCCACCACCATGCAATGGACATTTATCATCTCACCCATAGACCATATGCACCACAAATCACGGACAGAGCGGCCCAAATAATTGTGTTACAGGCACTCCAGACACCCCAACACCAACTTTTTAGCACTACTGAAAGGTGGTCACCCAACCGCACACACACACTAAGAAAAAAAAGAACGAGGAAAACAGAGACAACCGCATGAAGAAAAGACATACATGAAACTGATTTTATTTATTTATTTATTTATTTATTTATTTATTTATTTATTTATTTATTTATTTATTTATTTATTTATTTATTTGTGTGTGTGTGTCAGAGAGTGTTTGGAATTTTCACCACAACAGCGTGTGTGTGAGAGAGAGAGAGATGAATCCCCAGCGGCCAAGCTGCATAGCAAGACATGGATTGCCCCATGGAACAGACTCAACATGAACTCCCAGAGATGCATTCCAAAGCTTCCCAGCCCAGTGCACTGCTGAGCATACAACCCAAGTGTGCTCAACACAGATGCTTAAACCACCAGTACGTTTCCCAGCCATTTTTCTCCGACACGGCGTTAATGGCTGGGTGGGAGAAGGGGGGGGGGGGCAACCAAAAGAAGGCAGCACTGGTTCGCTTATTTTTTGCGCGCGCAATGTGTCTCGAGGCTCAGCAAGTGAAAGGGGTCAAAAGTACTGGTCATTCAACCAGAACTATGGGCCTCGCTCCACCACTCACCACAGGCACAAAAGATAAAATTATGGCCATGCATCTTTCCATGTTCGTATGGAATATTCAGTCTCAATGTGCACATTTTGAAGGTGGTGGAGCCAGGCCCTAAATAAATCAGACAGACAAAATGATTTAGGAAAACAACAAACACAACATGCAAGTGCGGTCGGACTTGCACCAACTCACCAGCTAGGTAGGTGACAAGGCAAGCAACTAGGCAGGGATAAGGGAACAAGGCACGGTGCTGCAAGCAACAACAAAGCATGTAGGTTAGAGGGCAGAGACGACGTAGGCGGGCAGCCAAACGGCAAGTAATGCATTAAACCAGCGTGATGAGCAGCAGGTAAAATGGGTGCTACGCAGCTACGCAACGAAGCAACATGGCAGCGGGGCAACAAGGTAGCCAAGCGACAACGCAAGTGGCAGTGCAACGCAATGCGCAGCGGGGCGAAAAGTCCACGAGGAAACAAGGCAGCAAGGCACAAACCTCAATGCAGTGAGGCGACAATGCAGTGCCGAAACAACGCAACAAGACAGCTGGGCAGCAAAGCAGCAAAGCAACAAGACAAGGGAGGCAACAAGGCAGTGAGGCACAAGCCAGCCAAAGGATCAGGCAAACAGCTAGGTGCCACGACGAGCAGCAGGCAGCAAGGCAGTGAGGCACCAAGGGAGCAAGG